CATATATTTCCCAATAATCAACCATTTACCAAAATATACAACTGTATTCAATTTAACATAGAAGGCATGATTAACTTTTAGAGAACAATCATCATATAAGTTTCATACTTTCACATCTTAATTCCCCCCTCCTTTTATTAGTAGGAATATATGTAGAAATCCAACCTAAACTTCTCCCATCCCCAACAACACTTTACTTTTTTCTCATTCACTTCACAACATGAAACCTCTTGCCGGAGTCCTGTACAATTTCAGTGGAGTTAAAAGAAATTAGGCATTTTATCTCTATTCCTTACATTTCTTCCTCTACTCCAGTTAAGAGCCAATATCACTCTATAAATCTCTCAAAGCTTTTCTTGACTTTCACTATTGGATTCAAATTCAAACCTTTTCACCAGTTGCATTTTCTCCCTTTTTCAAGATAATAAAACGTTACATTTGTAGAATTGTTTCATAACTTCTAAATCATTTTCAGATGTATTACTTTATTCCCACTTGAATCTCAAACCAGCCTTATGAGGAAAGTAAAACATTATTATCTCTATTTTACATATTAGAAAATTGAGATCCAGTGATGTTAAGTGACTTGTATAAAGTCACAGAGATCTTTAAGATCAAAGTTATTATGAAATACAACTCTCCTAACTTAGTATATAGGTATATACACACACACATACATATACATATACACACACATATATATGTATAAAACTTAGATGTATAGCACTTGTTATACATCATACTGCCTTCATCCTCTGAGTGTTGGATTTATTGAAAAGAAAATATTGCTTTATTTGAAAATGCAGCTCTACTGTAGAGATGCTACTATTTGTTCTATACTACTCTATAGTCAGAGGAAAAAGGAGGAAAGATATGTAATTATAAATAATCTTCATATATGAGAAGTGATCTTAAACAATTGGGTAGGTAGTAAGCAATTCTCCATTTTTATTGGATATGTCAAAAGGAATTGGATTTCAACACAATGAAGATAAAGTTATTCAACTGAGCATATCATGACTCTAAAAGTATAAGAAATGCTGGAAACTACACAATGTTGGATCTAGATATCTAAAGATAAACACCAGTTTTTCCACAGCTGCCTTTATGGAGCTATCAACTCTTCCTCAGCCCCTCAACGTCCAACACCATTCATACCTCCCTAGGGTTATAGGTCCCCCACCCCACCTTGACCCTCCTCAACCCAGGGTCTCAAGCCCCACTGAGTTTCCACCTCCCACCCGGTGCACAATGGCCACAATGTCCACACAGCCTCACGTGGGCTGAAGTGAAAGCAGCAAACACCTGACTGGGACTCTGGGGGGGTTGTACGCTTCTCTTCTGCCTCCCCTAGGGGGCAGACCCTGGACTTCCATGATCCACACTTGAATGGGGGGTGGTGGAGGAGCATGAGCTGCCTACATGCCAGGGAATATTTGCCGTTTTATCCTACCAGGCTGTTGTCCAGATAATCGCATCACCTTCAAGAGAACTCAGCCTCAGATAGGTGCTTTTGCCTGTCTCCCCAAAGGACTCTGCCAGCATTCAAGTCTACACTTGGGGAGTTTCCTAAAATACCAAGAAGAAAAGTAAATTTATACTTGCTTTCTATGCCTCTGGACCTGGACTTTGTCATCCTTCTGCTTCTTCTCTATACTGTTATTTAGAAGGGATAAGAATTAGTGAGAACAGAAGGAGATATCATGAAAATGAAGTTAAGAAGCCTGGCATTGACAGGATTCTGGTCCCAATAAATCAGATCAAACAGGTGACTTCAGCTGAATCACCATGGGGGAAGGGGAGAGGTAGGATTACTTGGATCTAAATCATAAAGTTTGTCCTCCCTCACATGGAAAATCTCAAAGTCCTTTCAGGATTAGATTTGGCTTCTGGAACAAAAAAATAAAGGAGAAAGTTCTTGCCTTCACTGAGGCTGAAAACATTCTACTCACTAGCTATTACCAGTGGATCTGCCGTCATCCACTTCCACTTCATCTGGATTTAAGGCTCTGTGGTTAACAAATTCTTATGTAGAATTACTCTCCCACTTTCAAGGACAGACATATCTCTTAGGACCCTTATGGCTTCTGATGCTCCAAGATTTATGGACTTAAATATTCATTGTTCCTCCTTACCACCTTTCACCTTCCTATGCTGATACTACTTAGAAACCTGATGGCTATTTACTGGCCCCATTTCAAGTACCCTTTCTTCCTTTCTTCCTTCCTTTCTTCCTTCCTTCCTTCCTTCCTTCCTTCCTTCCTTCCTTCCTTTCTTTCTTTCTTTCTTTCCATCCATTCATCCATCCACCCATATATCTATCTATCTATCTATCTACATCTTCTCTGCCAATAAGGCTTTGTTGACCAGAATCTACTCTAGGACAAGCCCTGTTAGGCATGCATCTGGGTTAAGAGATCTATCATAATGACACTTTATCATTCATTTTCATCTGAAATAAATTGTTTTCTAAGATTTTTGGAATTTAGAATGTAACATCCTATAACAATGTTTTGAAAATGTTGAATAATCCTAATTCAGTCCACAAAAACCTAGTTTGACCCATAATAAGTTGTATTAATAACAATTTTTCTATTGAAAATGAATTTTATAATGCTTAGAAAGTATCATGATGTTATGTGGACTCCAATGTTCTTTTAAAAAAAAAGTTTATATGTGTATTATGAATGGCTCCAAGCTTCCAGTGCAATGAGTACATCTGGTACAATCTTTAAGCTAACCATAATTACCAGAAATGGCAAGCTAAGCTATTTGTGCTGAATCACACCTAGAATGGTTGTACTGGGTATTTTACTACTACGCTGGAGGGGAAACAGTGGTCATTCCTAGATACTTACCAGTTTCACTTTCAAGAATGTTGACAATGTAAAACAAGTCATTCCCATATCAGTAGCTATTGGTCTACAACACTCAATACTGGATTGAAGCTACATGTTTTTAAAAGGTAGGCTTTAAATGTCTGCAAAAATGTTTCTAGTTACATAGAAAAAGAAAGTTTCTTGGAGGTGAAAATCAAAAATTCAAATGACTTATTAATAACATGCAAGCCATAAAGGCATATAATGCATAAAAAACTTGCCTTAAAATATTTTAAAAACTAAACAAAGATAAAAATGAGAGAAATAAATATCAATCATGGCTGGGGTGGGAGGAACAAGCCAAATACAATGCAGAGGTAGAAGGAAAAGAGTAAAAAAAAAAAACAACTCTCACTTAAAAGAAACTGCAATGATTAATTTCTTGTGAGTTTTTCCTTTTAAGTGGTAGAAAGAAACTTTTTCAATTAAAATAATGCAAGTGTTTTTTTTCCCTCTATGCCTGTTTTTTTTTTCTTTTTTTTAAAAGAATGGATAGGCACTATCCCTCAGACAGTTTAGGTACAGTCCCTCTAGAAGCCTGAGCCAGACTCTTTCACAGCTTGTTCTAAGACTTTGAATCTCTAATGAACACAAAGAATAGGTTAGCTGCATTGAATGCTCTTCTCTGGTTGTATCTAGTTATTGACAGAACAAGCTGCACATCATAGATAACTGTGAGTGTAAGCGACCATAAAACCTTAATTCAATAAAAGAGAGTTTCAGAAGAATACAATGGCAGAGCCAGATGTGACCTTAGAGGTTATGTAATGCAACCCCTTCATTTTAAAGATGAGGGATCTAAAATCCAAAGGAGATAAGCAACTTGTTTTAGTAAATAATGATATTTAAATATTATGATAATGACCTGATTTAATGTATTTCTTACTGCACTGAAATATAAAGTCATCTGAAAATTCCCAATACAATGCATTTGATTAATCAACTAGCTAGCTTAACAACTAGCTTTTAAAACTAATTTTTTCAAGATATTAGTGAAGTTTGGCTGTTGTTTTGTTTTGTTATTGTTTTGTATTCACAACTCCATTTGTCTTACAGAAAATTTTCAATTGAAGAAAATTAGGTTAAAGAATGTCATTACTAACATCTCGTCACCCAACCTCTAGACATCTGAGTGTATATGTTAGGTCATATTTACATCTATAAACATTCTCCATGGGTTAATTATACCTCCAAAATTTGGAACAACATTCCTCTGAATTTGGCCTTTTGTTTAAGCTCTGCTTTTTAGCATTCAGGCAAGTTTATCTTACAAAAGTTCTGCCTTTTAAACATAGTGAATTTCTAATCATGAAATCACATGATTATGACATTAAAGATCTGAAAATATCACTTTAAAAGAAGAATTTCACCCCTAAAAACTTTCATAGACTCTAGTTTTGTCATAAATGGAAGAAAAAAAGGGCCCTAGGATCTGTTGTCTCAGGGGTAGCAGCAGCAGTTAATCCACTAAAGAACATTTTGTGGGTCCCAGGATAGACATCTTTAAGGTTATTAGTGTACAAACAGCTATTTTGGCAAAAGACATGATATAAAGTGAAGACGCTGTGAACCAAAACAATCTCATCGATTTTAGAGCAATTCTAAACAAAGAAACATCAGTTTTCTAAATGGTGCAAGAGGCAAAGGAAAGGGAAACCAATAAAATAATGGAGAGTGAGGAAGAATGCAAGATTATAACATTGTCAAGCACCTCACTCTCTCTTTGCATACATACCCACTCACCCCTCTTCTCTGAGCTTGGAAAACATGAGTAATTGTTAAATATTCTAATTTGGAAATTGGATATTGCTCATTTGTGACCATAGTGTTCCTAGAGTTTGTGGACTGGGGATCCAATAGACCATCACAAAATGAGACAGAATGACCCTATGATCGGGGTGGGGGGAGGGAGAGCTTTCCAAAGTAGCTGACTCTTTTGGCAAACAGCAGAATTGTCAAAGCCGCATTATAAACATATCATTTACCAAAACATCATTAAGTTTGACGCAAGACGAATCATTTCCTGAGCCCTCCTTAATTAGACAAAACGCTTTCTGAGCCACAAACTCTTGAATGGGAAGCATCAAAACAGAATTTGGAAAGAGAATAGTCAGGGCTCACCATTGCTCCTTCCCTTCTACTTCGGGCAACTTCCCGCTGCAGGCGAGCCACAGCCAGCTTCTCCCTGGGAGGGAGAAAAGACCGTGAGGAGTTGTTCATTTTCTTTAGGGCAGACAAAATGAAACACTTACATGGCACTGTTACATTTGTTTGAGATCTCCAGGGTTACTCCCTCCTTGGCAAAGCTCTCCTCCTTGACCATGTTTGTTTTATAAAATTTTTGAGGGGCTATATAGAACTCTTGTTTTCATTTGGCTATCGTGAAATGTAAAATCACCTCCCCCTCCTGATCAAATGGTTACACAGTAGTATTACATATATTCCACGTTAGTCTTGCTTTATATTAGTGTAGGCATATCATTCATAGATTGTTTTCTTTTGCTTATCATGTTTCAATTTTCCTTTGTTCAGCAAATTTTGCTGATACCTTTTTTTTTAAACATTTACATTCCTCCAGTTATTCCCCTGCTCCTAGTCCATCCACAAATAAAAGAATGCACATTCTGTTCCATTCATAAAAATGTGAAGACATTCCAGGATGCATAAAATATGAAAATGTAGATTTGCAAAAGAGCATATGTGTAATACAACAGTTTATGTCATATGACTGAATCCCTTGAGTTTAAAGTATTCAATTTATAACAGTTCTATTTGTATTCAATATTTTAGGAACCCATTTAGTGCATAAAGTGATATCCACCTGTATTTTCAGAATATAACAATTACAACCAATACTCCAATTATATTTAGTAAAAAGTAGCTTGGCATAGAAGAAAGAGCCTCGGATTAGGAATTAGCCACTGACTATTCCAGGTCTAATATTAGTCTTCTCGATAACTAATTGTATGACCTTAAGCAAATTATACTCTATTGCCCCTCTGGGTCTTAGTTGGCTCAGCTCTAAAAATGAACTGAAAATAATTTCATTCATGTTATTTATATTAATACTGTGGTGAAGCTTTAGATTTATCAAAGCATTCCTGGTTGTCCCAGAACTGTTAGCCCTTAGTTATAACTGAGATTATTCAGAAAGAGATCTCTACAAACCATACTAATCTAGAACACTTCATCACAGAGGAAGAAGAAAAAATGTAGTATTCCATAGTGGACAGAGCACTGTACTTGGAGTCAAGAAGACCTGAGTTTTAGTCCTACCTCAAATATTTATTAGCTGTCAGACACTGGAAAATTTACCAAACCTCCGTACCTTGAAGATAAAGATATCAACTTTGTCTAGGACTATTGTCATACATTTTGCATTCCACTCCTTATCTTCAGGCCTACAGTCTGGATACATCCATCAATCTAATTTCATCTGGTTTATGGTATAAGTAACTTGAAAGAGTATCACATTCGTGCTTATCATTATAAAACTGAAACTTTTTTTAATCCCTGGAAGAACTAGCCTAAAAAAGCCACAGTGATGGAATATTATGCCATGAAATCTGATTCTATGACTCTTTCTCTCTATGTACCTGTTTCATCATGCCTGGCCAGATCACACAGAAACATATATACACACAAATCAATTGTTTAAAATATATATTTAAATTTACATTAAAATTGTATATGTATGTGTGTGTGTATATATACATACATATAATACACACACATATACATATATAGACATGTGTATGTATATATTTATACATGCATATACATATACAAACACAACATCAATAAATTATATACACTCTCAAACTATTCCATAGATCAGGAAATTGTCCAAATTCTCTGCAGAGGATTATCCTAACCTCCCCTGCATTACTGTGGTTGATCTTGGCAGGTTCATGAAACAAGGATCAGGAGCCCTGAGAAGAAGAAAATTGGTCCTAAGAAGAACACACTTAGGAGCAGTGGTCTTTAGTGCTCATTAAATGCTAGTTGATTGAACTCTTTAATTTTAATCAGTCTGAGTATTGCTGACATCTTATCAAGAAGTTATCAGCTAAAGAATGAGTACCAGCATGCCCAGTAATGTGGAGTCACGGTCAGATTATTTGTGTTAATTAAGTAAACCAGGAAAAGTCGTAAGATAATTACCATGAGGCAGAGTTTTTGGACCTACTAGGAGATAATAGTTACTGTATTACCCCTTCTAAGAGCTGTTTTTGTTTTGTTTTGTATTGTTTTAGAACAAAGTCTGAAGGGCAAGGCCTAATTATTCACCAAGAGAATTTGACATGTAAAAAAAAAAAAAACAAGCAAACAAACAAACAAAAATATGCTAAGGGACCTAATTTTTTTTTAGCCTAGAAACTGAAGGAAGAACAATACTTTTTCTTTGGTAATAGTATCAATTAACCTGTATATATATTCAAAAAGGACATAGTCTAGTCATAGGCTCTAAATGAGCTGTGCAGAAGAATTCTTTAACTTAAATTAGAAATGCGTGGGGTAAAAGACTTTGCTAAAATTATGTACCTATGTATGTATATATGTGTATATGTGTTTTTATATATATATAATATACACACACATACATATATATGTGTATACACATATATAAAATATGTGTGTGTATATATATTTTTATATATATACACACACATATGTATATAATGTGATATAAAGGTTAATTAAAAGACACTATCCAGCTTTTATAGGAGCTAGCCCAGATGATGGCCAATTCTTGTACTATTTTCATATTGGGTTACTATCTGTCATCTGCTAATATAAGCCATGGGAAAAGACATTTTTAATAATTTCAATTGTGCTGAAGTTTTTAGTGAGAAAATCTGTTAATAAAATATAAATTACTCATTTTTACCTCCCATCCCAACTATACCTTTTTAAAGTTTACAATTTGGGAAGATGCCAACAACTTTAAAATGATTATTTTTAAAGTGCCAATATTACTGAATCATTGATTTTGTGGAACATCAGACAGGTAAAATAGAAGGAGGAACTAGAAAACTGCAATGCAGTACATAAGGTATGATCCTTGACTCAGGAAGATCTGAGTTCAAATCCCATCTCAACCACTTAGAAGTTGTATAATTATGAGTTTTGTAACTTCTTCGAATCTTACCTTCTTCATTCATAAAATGGATATGATAACCCCCACAGTTCCTACTTCACAGAAGTATTGTTAAGACTAAACAGAGAAAATTGATGGATTGTGCTATATACAGATGTCAGGTGTTACTATTACCGTTGACATAATATGAACAGAGACAGACAGTCCAAAACTATAATTATGAATGTAGTGTGTGAACATAGAATACCCTAGAAAGGCATGTATTCTTGGAAAAGATATCCTTGTCTCCTAAAGTTCTCTCTCTCTCTCTCTCACACACACACACACACACACACACACCACAAAACTGTTGAACTGCTCAGTTGTTTAGGAACTATATCATTCTTAAATAGGTTTTGAAGTTAATGGCGCCCTTAAACCCTGCCTTTATTGAAAAATAAATATTTTACAACACTGTTTTAAACTATAATTTCTAAGGAAACAGGAACATTAGCTGAATCTTGCCTATATCCAACATTTGGTTTTCTCCAAATGATTTTCCTGGAACTCTGTCCCTCCCTATCTCTTTGTCTCTGTCTCCATCCCTATGTCTGTCTCACCTTATGTTTATATCTGTGTTTGTCTGCCTGTTTGTCTGTCTCTCTCTGTTCTGGTGGTGTTTTGAGGGATATTTTCTTCTACAGTAAAATTCTAATGGTTTTGGTTTAATATGGAGGAATGTATTAAAGTTGCTGAATAGAAAATAAAACACCTGCTGTCATATTTTCAGGTTTGTAGGTTTTGCCATCTATATGTCCCCTACATCAGTGAAACCAATTTTTTAATGACACTTTTGTATTTGAGTCTGATCATCTCTTTTCATTTGGGTCCACTGGTCCTCCTAACATTCTTATATTTTTAAGAGCTATGTATAAGACTGGTTTACTAACTATACCTTTTTCATGCACTTCAGCACTGTTTTGTGAAAAAGTAAGACATTTGACTTTTGCCCTACCAAAGGCAAATGACACAAAAATGTCTAATCCTATTTTAAGACTTTATTTCACATGCTGGAAAGTGTCAATTGTCATTTAGCTCTTTTAAGATGTTTTAGTAGAAACTGGAATGGTATACTAAATGGGGGAGTGGGGAAGTTACTTAATTACAAAACAAAGGCTTAAGGATGTTTCGGGAGAGACAGGTACAAGAGATTTTTTTTTTTTTTGCTTTACAGTAGAAGAAAAGGAATAAAAACTTTCACATAGTAGAACAAAAGTGATCATGACAAGATCAACCTTTTGTCAACGGAAATATGGAAATCTCTCTTTTCCCCCCACAGAAGACCCTTTAAATAGTTACTATTCCCATTCAATTTTACACCTGAATGGAGAGTTATACAAAGATTTATCAAATCCTTCAAGATGGAGAAATCTCTATAAGCTTTACTTAAATTAAAAATAAAACCTTTTTTTCCTGTGATTCATGAATTTTCAAGCACCAGTTACTTGCCTAAAAACAAAGGCCATTTTTTTTGCCCATGTTTCCTTGCGGTGTGTGTAAGCCAAAGATGTTGGCAACACGTAAAATCACCCAAATGCCAATATCAGAAAGATCTGTGCATGGGGAAAAAAAAAACACAAAATACTTTCTCCAATGAGAAAACAGCTTTCGGATTGGAATATACACAGTTTGTGATGTGTGGAGACCTCAAAGTTAAGGGCACTATGTAGCCATCTGTTGCATGAGTGTCTCAAGCCTGTCTGGAGACAAATCAATTTTATGTTACCACTTTAAATGAGCCCTGCCAGCTCATCCACCCATCCTCTGAATGAAACCACTGTGTACTCAAGTCTTACACCAGGCAGATGGTCACCCTCAGTTAAGACACCCCCAATGGAAGAACAGAAATGTCACTCTATTTAAGTGTGACAAATAAGGCTTTCTACTATCAATCTCCATTTGTGAAGAATTGTTTCTACACACTTTAAATCTGATTACCCCAAAATACAGGAGATGAATAATTCCTGTGTAAAAGGTTGGCTTATGTGTGCAGGTGTGCCTCACTTTGAGTAAACTGAATATAGTAAACTCTCGTTTCTCTGTAA